AAGTTAGAATTTGTTAATTCTACGAATTGCGACTTTTAGAACCGAAAGGGGAGGAGCCGTATAAATATTTGATTTCAAAACCGATAGGGGAGGAATTGATAGAACTTGGCTAGTTTGGAGTAGACATGTTCGGAGACATATTGTCTATTTGTTAATTGTTTCGTTAATTACCTCGTTTATGTTTTTCCATATATTACGAGAGTTAGAATGGTTGAACCGCTAAATGAGTTAATTAGTCGAGTCTTTTAACCGAGTTATTGATTGCCTTTAAATGTGTGTAAAACCGGAAGCGATTATTCCCGATTCCCTAGCATCTTTATCTTTGTGTCATTTATATTAGTTTGATTATTGTTTTATGTTATTATTTTAGTTAATCATTTTCAAAACCTATCAAGATTAGAATGTTTAAGTTTTATTTTCCATTCTTGTGATTTCGACACCAATACTAGATTTCGAATAGTCTTCCTCGAGAGATCGACCCAGGAAACAAATCATTCGATTCGTTGCTCGATAAAATAAAAATAATTTGTCTACAAAAAATTTGGTTTTGGTGTTGATATTATTTTCTGTGTTTCTCTTATTTTTGTGATATTTGCTTAATTTCAGTGTTTCTCTTGATTTTGTTATTTTTCATTTCAATTGTTTTTATTCTTTTTTTGTAAAAATAATAAAAAAAAAATTATTACATATATATATATATATATTGTAATACCGCGAGATATTATCAGTATAAATTACGTTTAATTCCGATATAGTAACGTTAGCGTTTATTATTTTCGGAATTAATTAAGTTCAGTCAAAATTACCGAAACCTATTTTCGGCGTACCGTTTACGTCCGAAATAATTTTGGTAATTAAGTATTATGTTTAATTTAACAATTAAACATAAATTGAGTGATTAATTGGGATTAATCATCAAATGAAGCCCTAAGCCGTGAGATTAAGGTAATTTCTTCCAAATTTAATTTCATAAACCGTAAGCTTTCTTAAGCTTAAGGTAAGGTAAATTAACCAATCATCTTTAGCAATTTGTCAAGCCTATAAGAGGCTTAGTCATCACATAAGTGAAGGAGATATAAGCAAGTGTCAAGGCTTAAGAAAAGCCACATCTCTCTTGCATCATCACCACCCCTCACGGCCCTCTATATAAGGTTACACTTAGACCAAATTTTCCCATCATTTTCCCTTATAAGAGTTCAGCAATATAGATCAGCTTGCAGCAGCCTTCATAAGTTACATAATTTCCTTAAGTTCCTCCACAATTGCACGGCCA